ACTAAATGAAGATCTACCTGGGAACAGAGCTGCCCTTGGCCATAAAGCAGCATTTCCTGTAGCAGAAGAAGGTCAGATCCTTAACCCCTTTTGACAGCAGAAATGTAGGTGTTTGCAGCAAACTGTATTTCTTCGCTTGGTGCTCATTTTGGCAGCTCTTTCTGGGATCTCCTCTTCCTGGCTCACTTTTGCTTTTGTTGATCTGTTTTTGCACTAGAGAAAACTGGAGGCTTAGGGCCCAGATCAGTGATGCCCCTTCCATTTTGCAGGTTCCTGAAGAGTCCTGGATTTGCCAGTGCTGGTTTTATCTCATTGCAATTGAATTCTGTGGAGACATTCGCAAACCTCTTGCAGAGCACTACCTCTACTTTGTATTAGCAAAATCCAGTCAATCACATAGAAATTCTTTCCAAAGGAAATTCAAGGCTCCAGTATTTTATAGGTACTTTGAAAACATTTCAGACAGAAGAGCTTGAAATGCTCTGGAGACTTCTGCCAGCCCCTCCAACAAAGGCCAGCACGTGCTGGTTCTTACTGCAAACTGTGGATGATTTTGTCCATTTCTAGGCAGAAGCAATGCCCTTTAGGACTGTCAGAGACTGACAGGAAGCAGAACAAAAATGTCGCAAATTATAAGAAAATATCAGCTCCCCAGGCTAACTGCTATCAGTGGCAAATCAGTCCTGAAATATTCGGGTCTTTATTTCACGTACTACTCATAATTTCCTCCTCCCTCTGCCAATTCCCATGATGCCACCTCTCTAGAATCCCTCTCCCTTCTCTCTCTGTACAGTTTGCAAAGCGTCTCAGTTCTCATTTTATCACCAAGGACCCAACCTTTCCCCTCACTCAGTCTCCGTTTCCCTAATTGTTTTTGTTGCTCTTCTTAGGACTCACATCTTGTTTTCCACTAAGCTCTGGTAACACAGCCAAGTCATGGCACTATGTCAAGTGCAGGGAGAAGAAGCACACGGGCTGCAACAGAGTCGGCATATGCTTTACTTTTCATATCCCCGTTAGCTGCAGTGACATATAACATCAGTACATGCAGAAATGTTCACAGGACCACATGCTCCCAGTCTCACACTGCAGCACTTGTACAGCTTTTTCCAACAACAAGGATACGTTACAAATCCATAGTCTGTGTACTTTGTTCTGTGACTCACTTTTTTCTCTCCTTGTTCAGTGGAGAGAGTTTCAGATCATTTTCCATTACACTAATAAGCCTATGGTTTTGGTGCAGAATCCCGACACATACCTTACTGTCCAGATGCTCATGCCTGAATTCAGTGTCCAGGTAGGTAAACTTTAGAAATACCAGCACAATGTACCTACATCCTAAGAAGCTGCCTGTGCACAAAGGGAAACACCTTCAGAGATACCAGGTCACTGCAATGAAGTAAACAAATGGCCTGTGCATTACAAAAAGAAAATGTTTTGCAGCTGAGCAGAAGGGGTGGCTTCAAAACCTGGAAACAAAAAGTGATTCTCTTTAGTCTAGCTCTAGGTTTGTTTGGGGATTTTGGGGGGGGGAGGAGGAGAAGGTTGCATTACTTGGCTGCATTTTGGAGGAGTGAGCAGCTTCCATAGTCTTTAATGTCAACAGATTTTAATCAGAACTGTAGGCAAATCTCAAAAGCAACATGAAAATCTTACAGCTTCAGCTGTTTGTTTTCCACTTTTCTGCAGACTTTGAAATCAGAGCAAACTGATATGATACTAATAGTAAGAAAGATTAAAATAAAAGTTGAGTTACTGGTAAAAAAAAATAAAAAGGGGAACAAATTAATTGCAAACCACCTTACCAACCTTGGTCTCCCAGCTGGCCTCTGAACACTGTGCTGCAAGGTACTGTTACCTATGTTACCTCCCTCAACCAGTCTTCTGCAGAGAGAACTCCTCTTAATCTCAATTTCACGTGGCAGCTAATGTTCCCATAGTGAGTGCTCCTAAAAATGACACTCACTTTCCCCAAGAGTGAGTATCCTGCTTTCATTTTAGCTGAAGGGAGGGGAAGAAAAGGTAGACACACATGCCAGGTAGTGTTTCACAAGCAGAAGAAATGAGTGTACGCAACAGAAGATAAAGGGGGGAACATAAAAACTCAGTGCATGCAGTGACCTTAAAGAAGACTAGATGAGCCTTCTCTTTGTGGCTCAAAATGACTGGGAACAGAGTAAGACAAAGCCTTTTCCCATAGATTTCTCAGCCCATAAAGAAATGAGATATCGGCTTTAGAAACTGCTCATGGTAGAGATGAGAAAAACTGAGTGAGCATCAAATGCTAGATGATGAGTGCAAACTCCCCTACATCTCCCAGATGATGGTGAACAAAGAATGAAACCAAAATCAGTGTCTCCATGCAGAAGTTATGGTGGGGTAGGAGACACCAGTACCAAATGTTAGCTAACAGGGGAGTTAACAATATGCTGCACCAAACAGATTGTCTCAGAACACATAAACCTCAGCATATAAGTAAGAATAGTATTTTTATTACAATAGCTGGACTGAGCTAGGTCCTACAAAAAAAAAAAAAGAGCTTCATGGCTAAGTTAATGGCAAGACACCAATAGCACAAGGCAGAAGTGTGTGGATGGTAGGAGGAAAATATGGAGAGGAAAGCCTGAGGTGACCCATGCTACATGCAGATAGCCAAACAATAAGCAAGGAACGGTGGCTTTTAAAGTCATGAACAATGGAGGGCTTTATGTGTTCATACTAGAGTACATGTAGTAACCGTCACCTTTTTTACCTCTTAGCAAGTAACTTACTGACAGCTGAGGAAGACAACCACAGAAAACAACAAGCAGAAGGTAGAAGAACCTGCACCACCTTAATACTCAGTTGCTCCTGCAAGTTAGTGAGTTGCACTTTCCCTCCCAGGCAGAGCTCATTTTTTGTTTAGTAGCAACACCTGCAGGCTGGGTCCCTTAAAATCCTGCAAGCTCACAGTAAGATCTGGTCCTAGCCTCAAAGAACTAAGACAGTATATAAGTGGGGACAGACAGAATCTGTTCAAGGTCACGCAATAAATCAGTGGCAGAGCTGGATCTAGAAACCATGTCCC